AATGGATATAAATGCACGACCCTTATACATTACTGTTCCTTAGCATTGAAAGGACTTAACACATCAGTCCTGAGGCTAGGAATTCTTTTACATGCCAGCAGTTGTGGGAATCACTGTTCATTTTGTCACTGTGCTATAAGCCAGCAATACTACCATAGACCACCTGGGTGTTTTTTTATAGGAATACTGTTTCTTGCCTGTTGATGCAATTTGCAAGTTGAAATCTGCATATCAAACAAAAATCTTGCACATGTTATGTCCACTCTTTCATACATTATCCTTCCTTTCTGAATTCTGGTTTCATGTTTATGAATTGCAGGTATTCCTAATGCTTCCATAGGCAGATCTTCACCTGAAATGCGCTTGTGTTTTGCGGTTGGCATGCTTGGATCATTGCTCGCTTCTTGTTGTTTCTAGTTCTGAAATATTTCTGATTATCTTCTGGGAGTTGGTGCAAACCTGTTATATAACGGCACTGTAGAAAAGCTTCTGCCAAGGGAAGGCCTGTGTTTCCCTTGGTGAATGAGCACTTACTTCTGTAGCCAGGGGAATTCTGCAGTTGAACACCACATAGAGTGCCCTATACCCAACACAGTTAGCTCTGCCCTATGTTTAGGTGGTTCCAGTAGCCTATGTATGCTGACACCTAAATGTACTTGCTGTTTTACCTAAAATAAGAGATAAAACCAAACAAAACAACCTGCAAAAGTTTATCTGAGCAGACCAGAGGACTCTGTTCAGAACATGGTCCAACACAAGTAGGCAAATCAATCCCAGTGCAATTTCACTGACTCAGCTGGAGTTGCAACAGAACTTAATTTAGGTATAGTTTGCTTCCTTTAAAAAGCAATAAAAGGAGAGAAGAGAGTGCAAGTGCAGCTTTTATTATTCCAAGTGGTCAAAGTAACACTTATTTTTTAACAAGATGCTGACCCTGATACTAGTGATGTAAGAAACTTAAGACAAGAAAGATCTTGTGTTTTCATGAGATGGCTTGTAGAGACTGGAGATCTGGTGGTAAATGAAGGATACTCAGCTTTTGGGATGCAGAAACTGTTTTATTGCTTCCTAGACTTTTTTAGTTTTGCATCTTTGACAGTAACTGGAATCAGCTGCTTCCAAGGTGCAACAAGCTTCTTACCGCATGGTAGTTATAGTTTCACCTGTTGGGTAGATGTTTTACGTCAGTACTGAGAGGACCAAGAGGAGAGGGGCACAAAATAAGCAAGAGAGAGAAACAGACTAAGAATGAAATAAGCTGACCACACACTGGCACAGTCCTTTACTGCTTAAAAGTTCCCACCTCTGAAGTCACCTTACCTGAATTTCTTTACCTTACTTCCCCAAAGGACATTTGGTGATCACTGGGGTTGACTGAAGTGAAAAAGTCCTGTGAGCCTGTTAGGATGTATCTTATATTAAAACTTAGGCAACTGTTAGAGAATGGATCTACAGCTGTCCCTGGAGTACAAAGGTAAGGAAAAGGGCTGGATGTGGTATGTGTTGTGAATGTTAAAAGAGGCTTGGGACTAGGAGAGCAAGGAGGATGTTCACTTAGTCTGTCCAATGTAGCTCAAAAGAGAATGCTTCATGTTGAAAAGCTGTTGAAAAGGGATATTCCATGGTAGATGAACAGCAATCACATTTAGAGAAATGTCTACCAGTAAAATGGAAATGCAGATTGTTAATAAGAGCATCCTACCATAATATTTTAGGTTTTTTTTCAAATTGTTTGTGGATGCTGCAGCTGCCATCATACCCAGAGCTACCTGGGCATAACATGTGAAGGCAGAAGTACCGTTATTTTGATATTTATCACAGCCTTTGCTGCTCAGTCCAGACCTTAGCTGACATTTCATTAATTTGTACAACTGTTGTGTGTATTATGTATCTTTGATACATGGTCAGGAAAAAATCCATTTACATATTTCAAGACGTTAAAATCAATATGCTATATTCAGTACTAAAATGAGTATATAAAGTGACATCAATACTTTTTGTTCTGTCTACAAGAACATAAGGAACTTTTAGAACCTTTTTTTTTTCTTACAGAGGATAATATATGAGCTGTAGGAAGCTGTAATGACACAGTTTCATCAGAAGATTCAGTAATCTTTGGTTTATTTTGCCACCAAAGCCCCAGGATGAAATTAATTTTGTCTGACTTGTACTAATCCATTTTATTGTTTCCACGCACTTTTGCATATGGATGTGAAACAGGTTTCAATTTTCAAAGCATTTAAATATAATAAAATATTTACTAGCACCACAAAAATCTAAAATGATTACAATTAGTATAATGATTCCCAAAAAAATCCTACAAACTGCTGAAAAAACATGACTTGGAGCCAATTCATAATGGCCTTCTGAAGAGTACAGTGAAGGCGAGTGTTTTAAGTCTTGACCATCGTATGGAAATTCAGGTGTATAACCAGGAAAGAACATTTATGATTTCTGACTCAAGAAATTCAGTTTCTGTTATGGGTCCCTGGTTATCTGAGTTTGTTTGTTTTCCTTGGATCTGTCAAAGAGAAAGGTTATCTTCCTAGATAAAAAGGTTATCTTTCTTGAAAGGAATCTGGGTAACTGGTGGGTTTTTTTGAGGATTTGTACCATATTATTCCTATGCACCAGGGCTTCCTGATATTTTCCTGTGGACTGGGAGGGATTTTCCAGCCCCTTTCTCTTCTTGCCCAGTGCTGCACAGTGTTGTTGCCGTTGCTGGTTGTCTTGAGGCTTATTTTATTTCCCTTCTGTATGTTATCCCCTGAATCAGCTAGACTGTTTGTTTGCAACTAGAGGGGAGCTACAGTCAGGATCTATGGGTGCTCCTTGAATTGTCAGGTACCTTTTTGGTGTGCTTTTTGGGTTAGGTTGTCATTGTCTTACTCCAGTTCAGCAGGAAATTTGCTTGGAAAACTGTACAGTTGGTTTTTTGCTTGATTTTTTTCTAGGGTTTTTGGTTCTTTGGTTTGGGGCTTTTTTTGCTGATTGATTTGATTTTTGCAATGTCCTGTAATGTGAGTCATGAGCCTTTTCAGGTCTGCTCAGAAACTGTGTTACCTAAATAATCCAGTGCCATTCAGGGACCCGAGTCTCTTCTACTCTCTTCCTATGGCACATTAAATTTCTGTGATTTTGTGTGTGTGTGTGTATCTGTGTGTGTCTGTGTGTTTTACTGAAAGACATGATTTATAGCGCTGTGTGGAACAGATGTTGTGAATAAGACATCTGTAGTACTATTGACTCTGATTGTGGGAATCTCATCTAAGTGGCCTTAGGGATTGTTCTTTACCTGTGTTACAAGAGATTTTTCTGAGTAAAATTTACATGCTATAGACATTGAATGCTAACACCTATCCTTACCCTTGTACAAGAAAGAAAGATGAGCCTCTTCTAATGGAGCTTGGAGATAAAAAGGTATTTCCTTCCACCGCCCACCCTCTTCCCCATCCTGTTAGTCCCTCCCACAGGAATACTGTGTTTCTGGGATCTATGGGGGGAAAAACGGTAGTAATTTAGAGGCAAACATAGGGTTACACTTTACCTTCTTCTCCTCTTTGATTTGTGTGTGCAGAGAATCATTGAAGAAACCTGCAGAAAGTCGTGTTGTGTTAATCTGCGGGGGAGGCTCCATCACAGCCATAAGAATCAGAGTTTATGGGGAAACCATGGCTTCCTTCTGGTTTGGGAGTTACCTTAGTATCCTACAGAATGCTTTGAGGAAGGCACAGGGAAAGAAAACTACAGGAGGATTTTTCCAAACAGCTTCCAGCAGGTTTAACTGTGATAGGGGATAATCAGTGGCTGTTAAAGTCTGAATGCAGAAAAACTCCGGCTGAGATTTGACATCTTTCTGAATGGGAGCTAAACAGGGAATACCAGCTTTGATCTTACAAAAATATGGAGGCTGGAGGCTGGCTTTTAACTGATGACATTCAAACTGTATAATTCCCCAAATGCTTGTCTATCAGACACTCATCACTTTATAAAAGTCATAAATAATCTATTAAGTGCTATAGTTGAATTTATAAAGGCTGAGTTAGGGAACTGATTCAAACCTGTTTATTCAGAAAAGCACAAACTGTGTTTTGAAATGATCTCTGCAGAAACTGGAATCTGAATCCATAGAAACAGATACTGCATACTGGAGTGAGCACAGCTTCTGTTGAATCATACTGTATCACATACTGAACAGAATGCATCATGTAAGGAGGTGTACGTTCAGTGGTTACCAGTCAGCTTATAGCCCCATGAGGGGCTTCTTTGAGTATGCGAAGCTTGAGATACTTGTCTTTTCTTAGATTCAGAGTACAGCAAGAAGATTAAATTGTGACATAAAATACTTCAGAGGTTGTAAAATATTCTAGTCCTTCATAAAATTTCTAAAGCAGTTATTCTGTTTCCTGTTTTCCAGTGATTGATGGTGGATGCGATGGGGCTGTTTGGTGATGGAGTTCTGAAATAGAGCACCAGACAACTTCAGATATACCTGCCATTGGGAGGCAGGGCTTATCAGCAGTTCTGTCTTGTTTTCTGTTGAAAGGGCATAGGCAGTATAGGAATTATAGACATTAGGAAATTTCATTTTTTTATGTGTGTAATCTGAACGAACTTAGTACAGATATGGCAACCCAGTCCCCATTGTTTAAACAGATTATTTGCCATGCCACAAGTGACAGTTTTGACACAATATAGACTAAAATGGCAATGATGGACAAAAGATAACTTGTTTTACAGTAAAAAACAGCAGGTACTGCTAGTCACCCATAGTGCTTGAGATAAGCACTTGGCTGAAGAAAAACAGACTGACAGTGAGTTCCAGAAAAGCTAGGATGAGGAGCGTAGAGAAAGGAAGTCAACTCAGCTCCCACATATAGCATTTCCAACATTGCCACTTGCAATCTGAAGATAGTATGCTAAACTGTCTTTACCTGGATTTGTTGGGGTTTAGATGCTGTTCTTCTCCACAAATTGCTTTTGTTTTTCTTTTATTGTAGTTATGGTCATTTTCATATTCATGACCAGGGCTTCAAAGCTTGCAGAAGATATGGTAAGTCCAAAATGCTGTGTGCCACCGTTTTCATGATGCAGACTGCCAAAATCACATACTGTATTAGTTTCTCTCTTAATGCCACTTCTGTTGAGTTATAGGTTGAATTCAAGGTTTTGGCCTTGCACTTAATTTATAATTAATCGGTTTCATAAGGAATCATAGAATCATAGAATAGTTAGGGTTGGAAAGGACCTTAAGATCATCAAGTTCCAACCCCCCTGTCATGGGCAGGGACACCTCACTCTAAACTGTATCACCCAAGGACTCGTCCAACCTGGCCTTGAACACTGCCAGGGATGGAGCATTCACAAACGGTATCATCATGTCAACTGTATTCCACCTGAAGAATGGAATTGATAAGTGTTGAAGTGAAAATAGTGTTTGCAGGAGAGGGATGAAGTCCTTTGGGGTGTGATCAGAGTACTTACAAACCTTTGTGCTTAAACCTGTCTGCCTTTCCTGTGATACCAACACAGACTACTTAGCAACAGTGATAATACTTTGCTTATGCTTTAGTCTTGTCCACAAAAGTTCAGTTTCCTGACCATGATTAGTTCTTTTTACATGTTATATTTATGCATGGAGGGTGGTTCTATTAATAATCACATTGCCAGGTAGGTTAGAGTTTGAGTAAAAACTACTGTGAAGTCTTCTGCTGTGCTTTATAAAGGTGAACAGGTTTCAGTGATGGAACAACCCCTAAGGTAGAGCCAGTTTCCGCATTGTTGTAGCTAAACAGAGCAATCATTCCTGGGGAGGATACTTTTTGTCTGCTTTCTGCAGTCAGCTGAACAGAGGTCATATTTGTTGGAAGCTGCTTAATTGTATAGGCAGCACTGCTCAGACCGTGGAGCACAGCTTCATGCTGTTCTCTCAGCTGTCTGCTCCTTCTGCAATGATTGGCTCTGCTCCTTTTCAACTGCTAACATCTCACTACAGGCCTTCCTGTGAACATGCTGCCTTATGGCTTGAGACCAATGTGTGGGCATTAATCACCATCTGGAGAGAGAATGAGATTCAGGGCCAGCTGAACTTGGCTGTAAGTAGCGTTTGAAGTGGGGCATAGGAGGCTGTACATCAGGCCACTGCTTTTTTAGCCTGAAAAACTGCATTCCAGCACTGTTCCCTCACAAGAGGTGGCTCTACAAGTTACTTGCAGGAGCTGTGGGAGCCACTTGCTTGTACTGGGACAGAAGTAGCTTGTACTCAGCAACTGCTCCAAGCAGGGCAGCCCTTCCTGTTTCAGCTGATTCCCAGGAGTGTTGTGGAGTAAAGTGGAGTGGGGTGGGAACAGCCGCCACACAGGGGAGCAAGATAACTTGAGTCAGCAAGAAATTTTTGCCTCAGCAGGAGGCCTGATGGGCTATATTTTGCCACCACAAGAGACAGTGGTGCGCCTGCTGAGTTCTGGATTGTGTCCCCATCCAAAATTGTAGAATCACATAACAGTTTGGGTTGGAAGAGACCTTAAAGATCATCCAGTTCCAAGCCCCTTGACATGGGCAGGGACACCTTCTACTAGAACAGCTTGCTCAAAGCCCCATCCAACTCGGCTTTGAACACTTCCAGGGATGGTGCATCTGCAACTTCTCTGGGCAGCCTGTTTCAGTACCTCATCACCCTAATGGTAAAGAACTTCCTTTTATCTAATATAAATCTCCCCTCTTTCAGTTTAAAGCCATTCGCCCTTGTCCTGTCATTGCAGATTTCTTGTAGGCTCCCTTTAGGTACTGGGAGGCTGCTGCTGGGTCTCCTTGAGCCTGCTCTTCTCCAGGCTGAACAATTCCAACTCTCTCAGCCTGTCTTCACAGGAGAGATGCTTCAGCCCTCAGATCAAAATTCACATATCTGTAGAATGCAAGTTTCAGGGAACTTATTAATTCATGGCAGAGTATCTTAGTGCCTTTGAGTGGAATGGTTAATTTCCCCATTGCTGTCAGCTGGGGATGAGGGCTAGTATCACATGCTTGTGATTTTTTTAATCCTACTCTGGATGCTTCCATAACTTAGAAAGGAAAATAAAATTGTATCGAGTATCATACCAGTATTTTCCATTTGTTAAAGACATACTTCTACATCAGGAATAACTTACTGCCCCATGGCTTACCTTACATTCTGCCTCTGTCTTCCTTTGCTTAACTGGGTCTAAGAGTATTTGCAGGGGAGAGGCAGGGGAGGAATGCAACTGCTAAGCTCCTTATGGCCCACATCACTGCCTGGCAGCATTCTCCAGCTGTTAAGATGGATGTTTTATGTACGTGGAAATAGAGGTGGATTGTTTTCTGTGTGAGATGTATGGTTTTATAAGAAAATGCATGCATCTCCTTATGTGGAGTTGCATGCATTTCTGAACAGAAGCATTTGAATTATGTTCTAACAATCCATCATATATCCTGTTTGTTCTGATTTCAGCTAAGTTGTGATAATCTAATAGGATGTTTTCCTGAGTACCAGAGTTATTGGCACCATCCATATTTTTCATACAGCCTGGATATATACCTGAAGAGTCATTTCTTTACAAGAGTTAAGAATGTCTATACCCTTGATAAATCTATTGTGAACAGCAGCAAAAAACCTGTGAAAGTTTTGATTGATTCTGATATGGATGTTTTATCAGAACATGGACAATCCTTGCTTGCTTTCTCATTCTCTTTCTTCTTAAAAAATTTCTTCTGCAGGGTAGTTCATTATTGCTACCTAGGTTTTACTCTAAGAGATAAGATGCAGTGCTTCTTCAAAAACAGAATTAAATCACTTGGATGAAAAGCAAAAGTACCTCATGTTGCCTTTGATGAAATCCCGAAATGACTAAGTTTGGGATATATCGAAACATGCCTCCCGATTTCCTAAATTTGATTCTTAATTTTTGTTGATTAGGTACTATGTTTAATCTGTTATAGGTAGTACTGCTGACAAGATCTGTGATTATGTTTTATGTAGGTAGATCTGTATTTTAGCAATTTGAATTTTGTGAAATGTGCATAACTCAAGTTGAAATTACCATAAATTAAGTCTACCCCTAATGTCCCTGAATATGTGCAGTCCCAGGAATACACTGATCAGAGCTCTCCTGCAACTGTTCCTTGCACATACCAGGAATCATACTAAGTGCAAAAGAAAGACTAAAAAGTACAGAAGGAAGTAATCTTTGAGAGCATATTTTCCCTAAAACTTGAGGCATTTGGAAAATGCTGAAGAATTCTTAACTTTAATAACCTCTACTACCAGCAAATGGCTTTGAAAACTACTTTGAAGGTCTGTGTTCTGAACACCCTTACTACCTGGTCACCCTGAGAAATAATGGCATGCTATCTCTGTGGCTTCCTTAATTCAAGCATTAGAATCTTGTATTAAATTGTATCTATACCTCTCACTATTATGTATTGTTCTGCCTAAAGAAATCTATATTAAAAGCCCAGGTACCTTAAAGTGTGATTTCATATGCTAAAACAATGCTGATGTTGGAACAGTTAGGCTGTCAAAGTTAAGAAATACTGCAGTCAGTTTTCTCTGCAATCTTAAATTGATATTCATGAGCATAAATATTACAGTACACTAATTTATTATATTTTTTCCTCCAAAAGGCTCCAGCCACATGAAGTACACGAAATGGAAGTTGTATAGTTCATAGCTGCAGAAATGAGTTGTATGGGGAAAGGATGAGGAGTGTGTTAGAAGAACAGTATCACAGATAAAGCAAATAGATGCCACTTGTAGCCCTTGTAGACTGTTCCTGCATCGGCCTCAAAATAACCCAGTGAAGTTTCTTAAATTCTGATAAGTAGTCACTTAATGTAGGTCTTATTTTCTACAAACCTAATGCTGTAAAAGTGCTGAGCTCTCACAACCACAGCTGATGTCTAGTCGAGCTTTGCTTTGACATACAAAGGCTGTGTAATCTGATAAATCAAATTTTCTGTTTCAGTTTAGGCAAGGAATTCTTGTGTGTTCGCTTTGACACTGTGCATTGGTTCCTTTTTCTGAAAAATAGGGGTCAGTAGCAAAATTGACTGGAATAGATGAGATGATCTGGGGTAGACCACTGTGGAAACAACCGTGAGGAAATTAGCAACTCTATAGTTTGCATAGGAAAGTCTGTTGTGCAGTTAATAAGGCCAAACACCAAAATTTGAGTGACCATAACCAAAAGGTTATAATGACTCACTCTGAGCTCTGTGTATCCTGGGTCCTGAAGGAGACAGGAGTCCAACTAAAAAAATGTATGCATGTAATTAATAACTATATCATAACCTGCCTGTACAGTGAAACTGAATAAAGTTTTTTGTTAGTGCTTGTTCTGAACTCTTGACTCTTCAAGTTGACAGCCTTTTTCATCTTAGACATTTTATTTCCTGTAATGAAAACTTTATACTTAAAACAATGAAAATATATGAGTAGGTATGCATCTGGATATAAATTTCCCCAAATTTTTGTGGCTAGCTCTTACATGTAAAGAATATGCAGTGCTGACATATAGATGGTCTTTCTTCCAAAGGAAGTCCCCATTTGATAGCTTTGTTACTGTTAATAACCAGGTTGCATCCGTGCTGAATGAGCAGCTGCAAAGAATCAGGATATTGGAGATGATGCTTCCCCCTGGGTTGCTACAATAAACTCTTGTTTTGGTGCTTTGATTTAATGCACTGAAAATCTCCAAAGGAATGTGTCAGGACACTGGAGTATTCTTTTCCATTTGCAGTACAATGAAGAAAATATTCTTAGGCTCTCCAGAGAGATAAATATGAGATTGCAATGCATTTTAACTGTATTTAAAATGAAAGCATGTTGAAAGTGCTCTATTGAATATTAAGCAGATCCTATTATAATATACCTCAGATCAGAGTATGGGATTTTTCACTAATACTTTGCAAGCTACTGCTTATCTTAACTACAGAAGACACTCTATACTAAGGCTCATTTTGGCTATAGATTCAAGGATCCTGGGACTAATACAGCCTGTAGGATGAGTGAGCTGCAGTAGTACTTGCTGAATGATT